AGGTGTACAACAGGGTTTAGCTCCATCCATATTAGTCTTTTGTAAGAGATCAAGTAAATACTTGCCTTGATGCATAAAAAAATTGTCTTTGGTTCTATGAACTTCCAAGCCCAAAAAGTAGTGTAAGGGTCCTAAGTCGTTGACTGGAAATAGGGTACTCAACTATTGAATAAGTTGTTGGCAGAGAGAAGCATTGAGACCTTTGATGAGAATATCATCAACATAAAGGAGTACAATGACCAAGGTTGGAACTTTAAGAACAAACAGAGAGGCATCAAAAGATGATTGAGTAAAACCAAGAGATTTGAAAGCCTGAAACAACTTATCAAACCAGGCCCTAAGGCTTGTTTAAGACCATACAAAGATTTCTTGAGCTTACACATATGATTTAGAAGAGATGGATCTTGAAACCAAGAGGCTGCACCATGAACACTTCTTATTTTAAATCCCTATGAAGGAAAGCATTGCTAATATCTAACTAATTAAGGAACCGGTTGAATTGCACAGCAAATGTTAATTAGATTCTGATGGTGATAGGTTTAGCTACAGGGTTGAATGTTTCTTTATAATATAAACCTTCCTTCTGGTGAAAGCTTTTGGCAACAAGCCGGGCTTTGTATCTTTCAATGGAGCCATCAGGTTCTTTTTAATTCTAAATACCCATTTGTAGCCAACAACATTATGAGAGAATGTATAAGGGACAAGAGTCCAAGTACCTGTAGACTGAAGAGCATTGAATTCATTTTGCATTGTTAATCTCCAATTTGCAGATTTTGAAGCTTGCAAATATGTTGTAGGAATCACTTCGATGGAAGAAGGAATAAGATGTTTAGTTGCATTGAATGCCTTTGGTTTATAAATGCCATTCTTAGACCTTGTCGTCATGGGGTGTACATTTTAAACTTCTTGTATATGTGGAACTTGTTGCACAGAAAAATGATTAAATTCTGTGGTGTCACTTGGCACAATTGAAGCAGTGGAGGTAGGTTCAATACAAATTGGAAGAGGAGTTGAAGCACAAGATGGAGCATTAGATGAAATGCATGAGGTAGAGAAAACTCCAAATCATTAGGCTGAGATGTAGAGGAAGAAACAGAAGACACAGGTGATGGAAATGTAGTCTCATCAAAGACTACATGTCTTGAAATATAAACCCTTTGTGTTTATGCGTCCAGACATCTATAACCTTTATGTTGTAGGCTATATCCCAAGAAAATACATCTTTTACTTTTCCTATCAAGTTTGGAGGACACATAAGGTTTTAACTATGGAAAGCACAAACAATCAATGACTTTGAGCCTTGAGTAATCTGGAACTGTATGAAATAATAACTCCCAAGGTGATTGTGAAATCCCAGAGATTGGCAATCTGTTAATGAGATATAATGCAGTAGTGAAGGCTTCAACCCAGTATTGGTAAGGAACATGAGATTGAACCAATAAAGTTTTAGTTGTCTCAACTAGATGTCGATGTTTCCTTTCTACATAACCTTTTTGTTCTGGTGTGTGTAGACAACTTAATTGATGAAGAATGCCATGAGTTTGAAGATATGATTTAAAAGAGAGACCTGTAAACTCACCCCTTGAATCAGAACGTACAGTTTTGATTGTATTTCCAATTGTGTTTTCTACATAGTTTTTAAAAGTACAAAAGTAGACTACACTTGAGACTTGAGCTTTAAAGGAAACATCCAACTATACTTGCTGAAATCATCAACTATGAAAAGATAGTACTTAAATCCACTCACTAGAGTTACAGGAGCAGGACCCTATAAATCACAATGTAACAATCCTAAGCTATGGGTAGTTGATGATGTGGAAGAACCAAATGGTAACTTGTGATTCTTTGCTATAGTACACTCAGAGCAAAATAAATCCACAGTTGATCTTCCTTTGACTGCAAGTTTATTAATAGATAATAGTCTATGAAATATAGAAGAAGAGGGATAGCCTAGTTGACTGTGCCAGAGCCGGATAGGAGCTTGAACACTCACCAGAGCATGAGAATAGTTGGATGAGGATAAACCAGGGGAAGAAGAGCTTTGCAAAGGATAAAAATCATCCTTAACTAGACCCTGCAAAAACGTCTTCCCTATAGAACAATCCTTTACACTGGATCCATCAGAATCAAGAGTCAATGCACATTAGTTATCTTTTACAAACTGATAAGTAGACAACAGATTATGCTTCATTTTTGGAACATGAAGAACATTGCACAATTTAAAGGCAGCATTAGAGGTATGCAATGAAGAAAAACCAATATGTTGTATGGACAGACCTATACCATCACCAATGTAGACTTTGTCCTCTCCAGTGTATGGTGTAGGTGAAATGATATTGGCAATGTTATTTGTGATATGACAAATGGCACCAAAGTTAATAAGACAAGAAGGGGATAGGTTGGAGCTGTAATGTGCACACATGGCTGTGAATTTTGCAGGTGGAATTCTTCCCGAAAAGTCAGGATTCATGCAATTAAAGCAATCAATGGCTTCATGACTGGTGGAACCACAAATCTGACAGATGATATAATTTCCAATGAAATTAGAACCACGAAACCCTTGATTCTAACCTCAGTTTGAAGAATTTCCATGAAAATTACCTCGAGAACCACGATTGTTATTGGTGAACTGATGTCCTCAATTGCTCTTTCGTCCATGATTAGAGTGAAATCGAGAAGAATTTTGATGTGAGAATTGATTCTGAATGGCAAGTGCTTGAGGCGGTGATGTGGGAAGCAGAGGTGTTTGTGATTGCACTGAGAATGCCTAAAACGGTTCAGTAGTGGATGAGATATTCTTGTGACGAGACATGAAGAGTTCTTTTGTGAGAAGAATGCTATGTAATTCATCCAAAGAAGTGGAAGGCATGCGAAGCATGAGTGAATCAATGAAAGATTCGAACTCATTTGGTAAGCCAGCTAGTGTTGCCGCCATTAAATCACGATTGGAGATCGGTGCTCCAGTTGTAGAGAGAGACTCAGAGATCTCTTTCAATTATTGCAGATATTCGGACATGGATTGATAGCCTTTTCTATATGGCTTGGAGACGAGATCGAAGTTGATGAATATGATCATAAAAAACACCACCAAAACGTTGCTCAAGCTTGATCCAGAGATCGCGAGAGGAAAATACACTAACAGTAAAGAGAATTACATATTCATAAAGTGTAGAATTCAACCAGATCAGAAGATTTGATCTTTCTCATACCAGAGGTTAAATGTAAGGTTTATAGAGTGATCTGGGAGAAAGGGAGGTGGACACACCTCAGTTCCATCAACAATTCCAATAAGCTTATAGCGACGAAAAATCGGTGCAAACAGTGCACGCCATGGAAGGGAGTTGGAGCGTTTAAGCTTGATTGGCCATACTCCCAATGTTCTGAATCGTAAAAGATGTATACGAATTTGATGAATTTGTGAAATTAAGGTTTTGAGAAGAGGAATTGGGGACTGGATGTTGAAGCGATTCATGTTGAGATGATGAATCAGAAGGAGAAGCCATGGCAACAGAGATGAAAATTCTTAAAGATAATCAAGAAATCAAAGATGTGTAACGAAGACGATGAGGATCGAGAATGCCGGAAGGTAGGAGGCGAATGATACCATATAGAAACTTAAGACTTTCTCTGGAAGCTTTTCTTAGAACGTAAGAAAAGTATGTTTCTCATTAATTAACAAATGAAGAATACAACCATTAATGTATAGCCTTTGACTATTCTCTCTCTAACTAACCAAAACATAATACTTTACAACACACCTATAACAAACTAATAACCATAAGTTGTTATGACTTGGCATATTCATCTTTATTTGGGTGGCTGAAGTTGTTTGTGAGATAATATCGAATTTTTTTACGAACTACACTTGTTTTACTTGCCCATGTTTGTGTGTCTTTTTGTGTATAGGAAACTGGTAGGCGGAGAAAAGTTGAGTATTCCATTTATGTTAAAAATGTTGAGTGCAAGTTCAACGTCCAAAAATAAACGAAGAAGGGAAGGTCTGTCAGTGCTGGCAGTGATATAGACTTGGAAGTGTTCAAGGATGCAATCGACGCTTTGTTGAGAATTAAGCTGCATACTAAGCTTAAATCAACCTGCAGATGACAATCCTGCAGATTGAAAGTGAAGAGAATGAAGAATTCGAAGAGATAAAGAACTTGCCTTTTTTAGAAATAGCCGTTAGCTTTAAAGTTGTAACAGCTAGTTTTATTTCCTATTTTAGAAACCTACACCACTGTTATTCTTATCTGTTTGGGATGTACTGTGTTATTCGATCCTCCTTCAAGTGGAAGGATCGTAGCCTCCGATGACCTGAATGGCTGGAGATGAGTCCTTGATCCCTGAAAATAGGATCTGAGCATTTGACTAATTAGAAGAATATAGGCTTGTATTCTTTGAGTTTTTCACATAGAAAAAATACTGAACATTCTCATTTTCTTAGTGTTCTTCCTTTTCTGCATAGATTTTTTGGTTTAAAGTTTCAATCTTTGTTTGTTAATCAATGTAAAACATAAAGTTTGATACCATTTCAACATGGTATCAGAGCTTTAGGTCTGATTCCAGAGAGGGCGTAAATTGTGAGAGAGGTTCTTTCTGAAAAATTCCTAGAAGGGATAAAGGTGGTTCCTTTATTGGTTGGTTCACTGATATTGACTAAGAAAATGGTGGGATTAGGTTTTTCAAGTGGAGATTTACGAACTCCACAGTTTGATAGTGCAAACTACAATTTTTGGGCTATCAAAATGGAGACTATCCTCCTAGCACATGATCTATGGGATGTAGTAGAGATCAAAGTACAACCGCAACCGATTCTTGAGGAGGAAGAAGGCTCTGGAGATGAAGAAAGTGAGGCTGAATAAGTTTCAGTGGAAGCACCCACCATCTCCAGAGAAGACAAAATCAAAAACACCAAGGTGCTGAGTGTCATTCAAGGAGCGATAACTGATGAGCTCTTCCCTCGCATTAGAAACGAAAAGACTGCAAAAAGGGCTTGGGATATTATGAGAAAAGAGTTCAGAGGAGATAAAAATGTAAGAGCTGTAAAACTTCAAGCAGTTAGGGCAGATTTTGAGTATATGAGAATGACAGATGGTGAAAACCTAGATGACTATTTGGCTAGGTTTTTTGGAATTGTGAATAATTTGAAATCACTTGGTGAAGATGTGTTTGAAAAAATGATTGTGCAAAAACTATTGATCAGTCTAAGTAGAAGGTATAAGTCCATTATGTCTATCATTAAGGAAACTCGAGATCTGGATACTATTAAAGTTGAAGAAGTCATTGCATCCATCAAAGTCTATGATAAAAGGGAAGACTTGCATGATGAAAGGGATAAATTGATAGAAACTGGGAAAGTCTTTAGTAGCCTCAAAGTTGGCAATAACCAAGCCACTGGTACTTACAAAGGTTCACAGAGTAAGCCAAATCAAAAGTGGCAGGGACAATACAAAAAGGGATCAAATTGGTCTTAAAGTGGAAACTTGAACAACAATAATGGCTCAAGCTGGAACAACAGTTCTGGAGGAAATTGGAACAATAGGTTCAATTCACAGAACAAGCAAGGGAGTAGTAATCAAAGTGGTGTGAAACCACAGTGTCAAGTTTGTCAGAAATATCATTTTGGTGTGTGCAAATACAAAGGAAAAGCCAAGTGTGGAAAATGCAACCGGTTTGGTCATATTGCAAATGACTATGATAGTCATAAGCAAGTAGCTAATTGTGCAAAGGAAGAAGAAGTAACCACAGGAACCATGTTCTATGCTTGTCACTCTTCAATTATGCAAGATAGAAGTGTATGGTTTGTGGACATTGCCTGCAGCAACTACATGACATCTCAGGAGTCTGTGTTAATAAACATTGACATATCTATAACTTGTAAAGTTAAAATGGGCACTAGAGATCTTGTACAAGCAATTGGGAAAGGCACTCTAGTGGTTAAAACTCAGCGTGGGAAAAGATATATAAATGAAGTGTTGTTACAGTAAGATATTGAACAATTTCGATTACGAAAAAGTTACAGTAAAGATATTGAACAGTTTCGATTACGAAAAAGTTACAGTAAAGATATTGAACAATTTCTATAGGGATGACTTTCAAGTGAAGAGTAAGATATTGAACAGTTTCGATTACAAAAAAGTTACAGTAAAGATACATTATTTGGGCTTAGGGATGAGCTCATCCCTCAAGAGGGGAATGCAAACTTTGCATTATCCTTCATTTATGATAATACTTGTGTTTCCCCATAGGGAAATGCATATATTCCACCTTTTACGGATAACGTAATTTCACTTTATAATCGTAACCGTTCAACTTCTTAGCCTTGATTTGAAGATCATCCCTACAATAAATAAATAAATAACTTATTCGAATCGGATATCGTTTAGTCACTCAAATGTATCAAATAAATGAACGGTTCATCATGAGAATGTTACTTGATATTCATACTGTCGATTTGTTCTATACATTTGGATGACTAAACAATTTCCGATTTGAATGATTTTCAAGTCAATATTAAAAAATCGAACAGTTTTGATTATGATATTCATATGGTAAATGGACGTTTTTTTTTTTTTTTTTTTTTGGGGGGGGGGGGGTAAGGAGTGGAATATGTGCATTCCATGAAGTATTATCCAAATTAAACTTTATAAAAAGATTTTAGTGGGAATTCCTTTTTTCTTTTAATTTAACTTTCATTTGGTTTTAAATTTTAGATCTGTGTATTTTTCTAGCTACCTAATCGAGCAATTCATATTCTGGATGCGCAGGATGCATGTCAAGTTGCTTCGCTCATGTTACCATCCTTTGTACATCTGTAAAAATATGACTTCTTGATTTAATTTTGTGTACAATATTTACTATATCTAGAATTATTTTTAGTGAACTATCAAACCCTATGACCCAATATTAATTGAAATCTAAAATGATTAAAACTGTAAATTACTTGACATTCAAGGAAATACTCTATTTAAGGAGGAGAATCCGGAGATGAGAATTTTACTCTAACAATCTATAGATGATGAAATTTATCATGCGGCCTACCTATGTATGTGTTAGTTTGTGTACATACATGATATATATACATGCATGAATATATTGCGGAAATATAGACGTCTGTACCTAGTAAAGCAAAAAAATTATTTCTTTACTTTGCTCTGGCTTCATTAATATATATAAGTAGGGATCAAATACATTTACCCTGTCCAACGAGGAGTCAGCCTCCTTCATTGGTTATACTATACACACGCATACAGAAATATATATAGAAATACCAGACACGACGAGTTAGATGTAATATAGCAGGCACGTAAGTGAAAAAACTGATTACACCACTTTAACTAAAGGGTATACCCAAGTTTTAGGGCATAGTCGACAAGCTTGTCTAGCTCGTTGTCTAGAGAAATGAAGTCGTCGCCGTTGTCATCTGCATGCCAAAGACTTAACCAAGCTCTAACGCTGGTCCATATCGCGCCGAGTTCCACGAAAGCTGCCTCGAGCTCAGCCTTGGAAAGTTGGCCGTCTCTGTTCTTGTCGAAGCTTTTGAAAACCATCCTTATCTGCTTCTCTGTGTAGGGCATTCTGGCCTTCTTACGGTGATCCGGCCCAAGGAGATCAACCACCCTTGGCTCCGTGGAGGGAACTTCCGGCTGATCCACAACCTTTCTCCACCTCATTATACTCTTCAAATTGATCAACTGGCGTGATCTTAACTTGCAAAATACTACAAGAAATTATAAAGCTGAGGTGACTTGCTTCCACATATGAAATTATAGGCAAATTAATATATAGGGCTCTGCCTGGTCCCCTGTGTGCCATGGCACACTCTGGACCATACGAATTATTCTAATTCTTGGACCTAGGGGTCCTCGTGTAGAAATATAAGTAGTCATTTTGTTTTTTTTGTTTTTTTGTTTTTTTTTTGTTTTTACATAACTACCAATCTATAGTATTTTGGTCAGCACTTGGTTGATATATATTTGGGATATTAAAAAGAATAATGTTATTTAACTACAGTTCGACTACCTATCCACATGTCTAAGACAACCAAAAACTTTAACAATAATTACTAACATTAGTTGTATAGAATGATGAGATTGGTAAAGACCTATAAGTAGCTAATGAGGTGGAAAAAACAATATCCATCCCTTAGCCACTGATAAGGCTTTATCCATCTCATTTTGTTCAACTAACATTAGTGATTATTGTTAACTTTTCTTATAGTAAGAGAAGGAGTCTATAATATGATTAGTATATTAATGTGAGCCGAATACAAGCAATCATCTTGTAATATTGGCAATGTACCAAGTCCTATAGTTTGGTATATATATTACTCCAGCCAATCACTCTCTAAACAATAATTGATTCTCATGGATGAAATTAATAAGTTCTCAATCTTCTCTTGTTGAGTCTTTTTTTTTTTGTTCTAGCTCACTTGTAGGCGCTATATGTTGCATTTCAATTTTAAGCGGATTATTTATAATTTTTGTGTATATATGTGGACTAGATTTTTGCGTGCACATAAAGCATGGAACTTTGCAATAGTAAAGCTTATAACAGTAAAATTATTCGTCTGCCAATTTTTGTTATGGACAGTAATGGCAAGGAATAGTTTGTTCAATTTTTGGGTTTGTGAGGCATTAGGATTTTTCTTTTTGTTTGGTTGGTAGATTTGGGAAACCTCTTGGAAAGTGTTCAACATGTTGTATTGGTAGATTTGGGAAGCCTCTTGGAAAGTGTTCAACATGTCGTATTTTAACGATATATATGTTGATCATTTCTTTTTGTTTGGTTGGTTGGCCATAGGATTTTTTTATTTTTTTTATTTTTTATTTTTTATTTTTTTTGTTTATGAGGCCTTATTATGTAATAAATTTTCTATTCAGTGTATATAGAGGTAGGATTGAGGAATATATATTTTGACACATTTTTAGGGGTTCACTCTATATTGTACTTTGACGATCAAAGTGTCTAATTTTTAAGTATTTTCTAAAAAATAAATTCTAACAAAAGTATACCTAAATTCAAAAATATATGATCGTTGGACTAAATGATAGTAATTTTAGTATTTCTCTGTATTACATATTCAGGATGACATCTGAATGATGAAATGAAATCTTTACAAAAATGTTTGCCAACAAATTAAATTTCAGTGAAATAAATGTTTGCCAACAAATTAAATTTTTGACTCACAAACGGCTTACATGGCACATATCATGGGTCCTGCCATATTGTACACATGACATGTAACTTATCAAAGCCGGAAAAATCATCAAATAGTGACACATGTCAACATATGAGACATTTGTCAAACAAATCAAATCAAGTACAAAAGGAGGAAAAATAACCCTAATCTAATCAAATTATATCAACTAGGGTTTCGTTTCCTAAAACAAAGATTGTGATTCAATTTATGACAAAATTAAATCAATTATTCTAAGGTGAATTAAATCATAATATGATCGGACCAATTACGGGATTGACACTGGGTCTTCCAAACCATGCCCAATTTTTTGCTTGTAAATACTAGGCACTAATTCATAAGAGGGAGAAGGGAAAAGGAAAAAAAAAAAAAAAAAAAAGGAAGCAAGTTGAGGCTACAGAGACATGCACACATCTCCTAGAAGCTGAAACACTCTACACACTTAAAAGACTCATAAAGTTCTTTGCATTCTTCGTGACACTCGAAAAGAGCCATCTAGCACCGTTACACATGCCCATTCCTCACCACCATAAGCCAAACTCTTGTGGCATTCATTGGTTTAGAAGACTCAAAAAGCTCTTTGTATTCTTCGCCATACCCGTGAAGAACCATTAAACACCACTACACGTGTTGGTTCCTCTATTGCCACAAGCCAAATCCTTGTGGCATTCGTTGGTTCGAGAACAAGTCACTTTGACCCTTAGATCAACATCTCTACAAATACATTCTACAAGCCCGAATGTCGAATAAGAGGATTCAGACTTTGCATCGAAGATTATAACCCTAAACTTTCATTAGTACAAAATTTATTTTGTACCTATATTCTTGTTTCATTTGTCGCTTGACTTTTTATGTTTACAGTTACAAAATAAAAATCATAAAAAAATGTGTCAAAATGTATAAAATAAAAAGCATAAAAAAATGTGTCAAAATGTATATAAAAAAATGTGCGTCCCCGGATATAATTCATATATATCAAAGCTTTCTTTCTTGTAAAAAGTGAAGTCAAATTAGCTTGACTTGTATAAACAAGAATAAAACTATAGCACAAGAGTTGTCGTTATAAGAATAAAGATAAGGATGATGCCGTCTCAAAATATCTCACATGGAGTAAAAGAGAAGGATGGCACAGCTTTAGGTTATACCTTTACAAGTTGTATATCTAGTTTTGCAAGGGCAAATTTACAAGACAACAATCATGCCCACTAGTGGAGACACCATATATGAAAAATGGAGTAGGATTTTTTATTTTTTATTTTTCTAATATTATATCATTCTCTTCTTTCATCTCACACTCTTCTTTTTTGTCTTTTTCTCTACATAAAAAATTCAAAACAAAATGTAGACGTATTATAATCGTAACTTTTTTAATAAAAAGGGATTAAAAAAGAGAGAGATTAGAAAATGAGATAATCCCTACTCCATGAAAAATAGTGTAATGGATATGAAACAAAAAGTAGTATTGCAAAGCGATAGCCGTAACCCTATGGCCTTCGTGCGCACAATTTAAGACATTACATTTAACAAATAACAATATTAACATTATGTGTGATAATTTATTTATTTTTAACATTTGACCAAAATTTTCTTGAAAAGTAAGCATATATTTAATAAATTAGAGATAGGGTTAATATTTTTTTATTATCCTGGAGTTTTTGTGTTTTCAGCATTTCTTACATTAATTTTTTTTTGTCTCAGTCTAGTACCTAAATTCATAATTTTGAAGCATTTTCATACATTCATTAAGTTTCCTATCAGAACATTCTTTAACTGATGACGTGACATCCA